AGAAACAATTTTCATCTTCAAACTAAAGCTATCAGAATTAAATCATGAATTACACACTTTGCACTTTCAATTCTCCGAAGCTGATGCTAAAATCTGTTTACTGACGCTGGGTCTATAAGATCCATTTAATTTATGTTAATTAGAAGGCATTAATTAGTTTCAAAAAATCAAAATGACATAAAAATAAATATTAGGTATCTGTATTTTGACAAGAATAATCTAAAATTGCAAATGTAATAAAGAAAATTAAACTGTTTGATATTTTTGACAAAGAAATTTATAATTGAGGAGATCCACCGTTAGCTTCAAAGGGATATAATATTGAATAGATCTAATAAACCTACGTCAGCAGTGGAGAGTTAATAGATCGCTTATATTAGACGAAGCGATCATTAAGTATTAATATTCGTCTGATCTTATTGTTAGACATGAAAAGCGCTGCTAAGAAAACTATTATTCCTTTTCCAAAATATTAATAGAAGCGGTATATTCACGATTCTTGGTTACATTGGTTCGATTGAGGTCGATAGTAACTCGCAGCCATAAGTGACTAAAAACAGATTATTCAAACATGCATTTCGCTATGAAAAATGAATCCTCGCCGAGTATTTTCGCGACTGTCGCATGCGGTAGCAGTGGCGGCGACGGCGACGGCGACAGCGACAGCGACGGCGATGCGACATCAACGATTTAACACGGAGGATAAAACCAGAGAGAGATGAATTTAATGAAGCGTACACCCGCGTCGGAAATTCTCCTCCTGGTCGAAGAATTCTCAGGAGCTGCGCGAAGTAAAACCGTTCCTCCGGAATTCGCGTCAGACTACATCGACCCCGTTCCGTTTCTTTGCGCAAATTGCGAGATACAGGCTGCTCCATAAATACTCATAAAAGAAGAACGGTAAGAAGAAGAGAAAGTGGGAGGAGGAGCGGGGATGTCATCAAGAAGATCGGCCACTGATATCTGAACTGGAAAATCATACAAAAGGAGCAACACGGAGATGAAGAGTGCGGGATGAAGAAACTCGAAGAAGCTCGAAGAAACTCGAGGAAAAAGAGGCGAAGAGAGACAGAGAGAAAGAGAAGACGCGGGCGTAACGTAGAAAAGTTGCACCCGGCACACTGCATCAAGATTTAGGAGGAGGAGAGACTACGCCAAAAGAGAGACGAAGGAGTAGAAGGGTGGCGGAGAGAGACGAGAACGGTCAGATGGCAGAGAGGAGGGTGTGGAAGGACGTCGGAGAGGGTGGCGAAGAGGAGACGAGGGGACACGCGCGGCGCGTTTCTGGAGTCGTCGGGACGCCGAAAATAGCGTCCCGATATGATGACGCCCGGAGCGGGCCGATCCTAGATTTCAGTCAGTTCGCAAGCTCGAAAGCCGCTGAGCAGTAGTAGCCCCGGATCCAGTAGTCTCGCCGCTCCGATTTCTTTTTCCAAACCGACGTCGAAAAACTCGCGGGCTCCCTCTCTTTTTCTCTCTCTCTCTCTCTCTCTCTCTCCTCCTTTTTTTCTCTCTTTCTCCCCCTCTCATTCTCCTCCCTGGTCCTTCTCACCCTTTCAAGAGAGTTACCCGAATACGACAGTCCGCAGTTGATTCTGTCGCCTAAGGGAGAGCGCATCGCGACGACAGAAGACGGAAGAGGGTAGAACGAAGAGATGGCGGACGTAGACAGTGTAGTGTACACGACCACCGAGCGCAAGGTGCGCAAAGTGAAGAAGACGACCAAGCGTCGAGAGAGCCACGACAACCAAGCGTCGGAGGTCACGATCACCGAGGTCGACAACACGCAGAGCAACCACCATGCCATCGAAGAGTATGTGCTGGCTGACGATACAATCCGGCAGACCCGCATAATCTCATTATTATTTCTTCTTTCTTTCTCGTCATAACGGCGACCCGTCGTCGCCGTAATCACTGTCGTGCTCACGACTCTCGTACCATCCGGGAACGGGATTCTGCGAGCGTCACCCCGGAAAACTATGCGCGGGCGATCGGAAGATTGCGATTGCAACGATGATAGTAGCATACACAAAACAAATATCGGAAGGCTGGTTGCATCAAGTTTAACGTTGCTCTCGGTTAAGTGAATCTCTTTCTGTATCAAGTAGAACTGTAATGTAGATTATTGGGGAACAGTAAAGTAAAATTGTTTAACGAAGACTACTGAAACGATCAGTCTAAAATAAAATGCACAAAAGATGCTTTTTAATATTTTGAAGGGCTTTTGAATTTTGATATTGTTTGAAAAACTTTATTTGAAAAAAATCGGAAAAATTAGCTGATTTTTGTATATTCGATATTATAAATGCGGGAAAGTATTCCTTGTATGATTTTCATCGACGTAATGTTAAATGTCAATTTTAAAATTACTATCAGCCCTGTTGAGCTCTTTAGGGATAATTTACACGAACTAGAATAATAGTATCACACAAAAATTAGTATGAACGTGCCTTTGTAATTTTATTTTGTTCGCGGCTCATTTAATTTCGAATAATTAAATGTACCTGGAAAACGGCGGCGCATTTAATCTCGAACACCCTTTCATTGCGTTCGCTCAAACTCGGGCGATTTACGAGCGGCCGAAAATACTCGCGAGTGAAGAAAGATTAACCTCGAGCATCGCATTTCTATCTCGTCACGCAAAGACTGAACTTGCCGTATCTAAAACGATATCGCTTGTCGTGAATGATCCTCTCCGGATATCCTCTGACATTTCGTGACTGCGGGCTACAATCCGACAGACGTACCTTGCTATATCTTAGTGAGGACTAGGGTGACGCTCTAGGAACTCGAACCAAAATTACACGAAAAAAAAAGAGAAACGGTTCTTTTTTCATGAGACCGTTGAATGTCTTATTGACCTTTGAAAAACAAGTAGTTACGATTCTCTTCTATTATTAAAAAATGAGAAAAATATGCATTTTATTTGTGAGATCAAGCTGACCAAAATATTGAAAACAAGGAGAGAAAAATTTAAAGTTTTTAAAATAGATTTTTAAACAGTGCTATACATGTACTTATATATAGAAAGTTTATATAGAAGAGTTTTTTTTATATAACGTAGAAAACATATATTAATATAATTTAAAACAATAATTTCTAAAATTCCAGCTAAAGCACTGGTTTATACATGTATAAACCAGTGCTTTAGCTGGAATTATTATGTTAAATTATATTAATATATGTTTTCTACGTTATATAAAAAAAACTCTTCTACATAAACTTTTAAAATAAAATGAGATAGATGTTACTAAATATTATGTAAAAGACGTATAAAATAATCAGAATGTTTCGAAAAATGTTGCAATACTGTATCTTGTAATTTACATATATATCTTTTAGTCATATAGCTTATTGAAAAAAATATATAATTTGGAATACTCACTTTTTTCAGTCAGTGTGATTGAAACACCTCGAATCTTTCTTGTTATTTAATGGTTTTTCAAAGATTGATAATGCATGTAAATGCCTTAAGAAAGCAGAAAAGAACACTCGCTCAACTCGCGCAATGAAAACGCTCAAGACAAGATTTGTACAGTCATACGCGTGTCACGATAAATATGACTTTGTACAGAAATACTCAGCCAGCACATACAACAGCACTCATCCAAGGTACATATTACCAGCACGTATCAACGATTCCGTTCGCCATGATCGCGTATGGTACATGATTGAAAAATGCGATCGAAGAACTCTCAACGAGATTGTAAAACGTGATACCTGGAGAGAAGCGATTTTCTTACTTGCCTCTATAACTTTTAGATATTTTATATTTCTATAAAATTCTGAGGAAACATCTCAACTCTGTTATAAGTCATTCTCTTGTTGAATGTTGATATCGTCAAACTTTCAGAAATTAGCCTGAAAACGTAACAAAACGTAGCAAAAATTTAATTCAAATGTATAATTAACGATTAGAATTCATAAATTCTCAGTCACATTTATGCACTTATAAATGAAATTTATGAGTTCAAGGAATCTCAATGATTCATGAATTAATAACTTATTATTCTTGCTTTTAAATAGAGACGGTTCTGAAATGTTTAAACCATACATAAACATTACAACATTAAACTATTGTTAATTAGTATATAATGCCAACGTTTCGTGAACCTCGCCCTGATGAAATAAACGGTAAGTTTCATAAAACGTTGGTATTAGCAATGGATCACGATCCGACACGGCAATAACCCGAAAACTCTTCAGCACCTCTGAAGAAAATACTCGTAAAAGCTTCAAAAATATTAATTAGTATACAAATTTAATATTATAAAACAGAATTTAAAATTCAACATATTTTAAACAATCGTTACATGGTAAACATAGAACTACCAGCCAATACCAACATGAACATGTTGCGCATTATGTCATAGTTTGTAGAGAAGTCAAAGTACCACTACGCAAACAATGAACAAAATATTCTCTTTATTAAAACAAATTAAAATGGTTTACATGAAAATATACAAAGCAACGCAAACTATAATGACAAACATAATTTGAAATATTTCTTCCGTTACAAATCTTACTTTTTCCTTTTACTTACTCATGTGCAACATATAATTGTAAGACAGAAATTACAAGGAGCTGAGTATATACTATATATTGTTTTTTATAAAAAATAACATAAAAATTTGAAATTTTTTAAATAAATTATATTATCATTATTAACAATTATTTAACTAATTTATTAATTTTTAAATTTTTTGTCATAATATTTTTAAGATGACAATGTTCCTTTAATATGACAAGAAACTAATGAAAAAGAGCATTTTTTATTCTTATGTAAAATATTAATTTTAATATATTTTTATTTTAAATTATTTTAAATATTTTTAATATATTTAGCTCCTTATGATTTTCCAATTTAAAGAATTTCGCACAAAGTTTAACTTAGAATTAGTTTCAATACAAAATCATATAGTCGACTGATATAAACGTCCCGAGACGACTCTCTATGAATATGTTATGATTTCTAAACTCTTGTGGTATTCGCGTTGCAGTTGATTTTCAGTGGCGAGTACACAAAGGCGATGAACAAGGATTGGCACAGCGGTCACTTCTGTTGCTGGCAGTGCGACGAATCCCTGACAGGACAGCGCTACGTTCTTAGAGACGAGCATCCTTACTGCATTAAGTGCTACGAAAGCGTTTTCGCCAATGGCTGCGAGGAATGCAGCAAAATCATCGGCATTGACTCCAAGGTATCACCCTATTATTCGGAAAAAAAAAGTTTATAATTTGTTCAGACATGATTCTCCATTAATTAAAAGAAAGTTTAGAGGTTTTATCAACTGTTAACTTATACCAAAAAATCTTTCTATAATTTTTTTAATGGCTCAATTTTGGAAACGAAGATCATAATTTGGTGCTAAATCATAACAGTGGTTATCGTCATAATTCATAAAATGTAAAAATAGTGATACATAGCTTGAAAATTATGTTTGAATATGAAAAAGTATATTAAATTTAGAATTGTCCAGAAATTCATTTTTTAGCGTTTTTGAAGTAAGTTACGCACTTCAATACGCATGTGAACAATAAATTACTTCGTTCGTATAGCCTAAAGGCATAATTAGCGGCCGTCGAATGATTACAAGACCCGGTGTCAATAGATGGAGAGGCATGGGCGTTGACTTACTCATTTCTAGAAATAGAAGCGATGATGCAGGTGCCGGCTAACCGTGTACCGGCTTCGAGCACCGATTTCCGCTCTCTCTTTTCCGCGCGTGGTCGCCGTTATTGTAATATTTCGTTCGCTCCTACGCTAAAAAATCATCGACCTGTGGTGGGAAAGTGAAGATGTTATTTTCCTCGTAACCATCATCGCGCGGAATTACGTAATTCGTACGATTAATAATTCTCATGATCTCAACATCCGCGACGGTTTCCTGAAATTATTTAGATACAACGTATGCGACGCTACTTGCGGAAGAAATTAAAGAAATTAATTAAATCCTTTTGTACACTGAAAAAAATGTTATTCATAATATCAATGAATGACATTTACTGACTTTAAATTCATTGATATAATGAACTTTTAATAGATATTATGAATATTTT